TCCCTTGCCTCTACCACGACCACGACCACGACCTCTACCTTGTGAGCCTTGATTACTTAGAGTCAATGTTGACTCTAGTACTTGTTCCAAAACTATGGAACTAGCCTTCTCTTGCATTCGTTGTTCATGAACTTGGAGAGATCCCAAGAGCTCCTCTATTAAGATCTCCTCCAAATTTTTTGACTCCTCAATTGCCGCCACCACGTGCTCGAATTTTGATGTGAGGGATCGGAGCAACTTCTCCATCACTCGGATGTCCTCCATCTTCTCTCCATTTCTCCTTATTTTATTCACAATTAGAAGTAATCGTGAATAATAATCGGAGATTTGTTCTTCATCTTTCATTTGAGCGGCTTCAAGATCGCCCCTCAAAGTTTGGAGGCGAATTCGCTTCACCCGCTCGACACCTTTGTAGATGGTCGCAAGGATTTCCCATGCTTCCTTGCTTGTCGTTGCTTCGGCAACTCTCTCAAAGGTAGACTCGTCCAACCCTTGATAGAGTAGAAAACGAGCCTTGCTATCCTTCTTTCTTTGTTCTCTGAGAGCCTTCTTCTCTTCGGCGGTATAGGTGGCTTCTACTTCTGGTGTAGGTTCCGTGAACCCATCAATGATCAGCTCCCACAACTCTTGAGAACCAAATAAGGCTCTCATTTGGATTGACCAACTCTCATAGTTATCTTTCAATAATTTGGGCACTTGAGGATTGACAAGATTATTTGTGGTAGCCATGAGATGAAGAGAGAATGGGAAAATTGGATCAAGTGGCTCTGATACCACTGATGACTCTAAAGTTTACGAACTTAGAACTCTTTCAAATGAAGAACTCACTTATATTTCTTCAATTTTCTCTCTTCATATCAAACAAGGATTACAATAGCCCTTTATATAGGCTTCAAAAACAAAAACGTCTAGGCATACCAATAGTCACAAATTAAACTCCTATTTTAATACCATAAAGATAAATGTCATAAATGAGTAAGTTACTCTTATTCTTCCATAACCTATGTCTCTTCACCTTCTAAACTTATGACCCTTGCACTTCTAAAACTCATTTATTCTAGCATTTTAATTTGATATTCCAACAAATCAATCGGTTACTGCATCAATCTTCTAGAGTATATAAATTACGTTGATTCTTAAACATTCATAACTCTAAATTTCTGATGCAGTAAAAGAGATTTTAAGTTTGCTTCAATGAGCAGATTCAAATCCCATGAGACGCATATTTTACAAGACTGAAACCGTACTGTGTAGAAGCCCATATCTCGATTAATAAAAGGTGACATTCGACTTGTATATTGGACTTCCAATGGTCAAATTCTACAGGAGTACAACCAACAGATTGGTCAACACAAGTGGAACTGGAAACAATATTAGACGCTATATATTACTTAGATCTCACTTATGTAGAGAATCAGAAGCAAATAATAGGATCAAGGATCGTGCATGTGTGCATCCCCCTCAAGTGGCCTAGTGATTGAGGCTTGGGGCGTTGGCTCAGAATATCAAGGGTTGAACCATGCTTATGGCAAATGCCTATCTTCAATTTCTAATTATTACGCAGTAGAACACTTATGCAATTCAACTGGGGTCTGAATTGCAGAAGAGAGGCTCAAGACCTCGAGATTTACTTGGCCGGTCATAAGCTAAGTTTCCTCTCACGGGAAAAAGATAAAAGAAAAAAGACCATGCATCCATCGACTTCGTATACAGCATATGTTTCTAAACTGCTATGAATATGCTTGGTCAAAATATATTCAAAGCTGTTAATGGTAATATAATCCATTATAAGGAAGCCTGGGAAAATCAAATTTGCAAGTGAATAATAGGTTGCCTGCAGCTTAGTGTCTTGACTTTTAAGAAGTGTTCAATTTCAAAGCACGCCTGCATGGATAAACTAGGGAAAACTTCATCGGCTGTTTGAAATTTAATTAGCAAAAAGTGTTGTGCGGAAATAGGGCTGTAAACGTAAATAGATACTGTTGTTGGATTTCGCATGAGTTGTTTGGTTTGCTACACTATAATTAAGATAAGTCAGTGCCATATCAATAATGCCAGCTTGAATTGTACAGTACTTCACGATCGATCCAATCTTTTTCCTATCATTTTCATTGACTATGTTAGTTTATACGTACATGGACGGAGTTCGATACCCAGGAAACCGTTACGGTCACAACGAGTCTGATTAACTTGAGGGAAAATCTATTAGCATTTTTGTTTTTTCATTTAATAATAAAAAATTCCTGTACAGGTTACAGCTAGCATTGAAATCATCAATGATTTGAGTATGAGCAAATTGCGCCCATCAAGCTTGAGGTAGACCCACGCCTTGAATCCAAGCACAGAAGACGAACTTTCACCGTCAAACTACACCGCGGCCAATTGCGCGCACTCCAACCTAAATATAAAAACATTGAATATGGATACTTTACAGTATATCTTGAGAAGATCCAGTAGTCCAAACAATATAAGATAAAACAGGTTTTTCTCATTTAAACCCTAAAGTCTTACGTATGTTAACTTTAAGCTCCGAAATCTTCGTGTTTGTAATTTACATCGGAAGTAGTCAAGTTTCCACTTACATCCTTAACTCGCTTTCCGCTAAAATTTGTTAATGTTGCGTGGTAACTATTAATCGTAATTTTGTCTTACTATTATAGTTCTGGTGTGCATATTTTAAGAACATAAGAAAAAGAGATAAACTAATAGAGAAAGAGAGACTGGAATATTCTTGGTCACGACGAAAGGGATCCGAATTGATCCAGACAAGGTGCGAGCTATTCAAGAGCTCCAACCACCCCGAAATCTTAAAGAGCTGAGAGGCCTTCAAGGACGACTGGCTTATATCCGAAGATTCATCTCGAATCTCTCGGGCAAGTGCCAACCCTTCTCTAAGCTGATGAAGAAAGGTACCTCCTTCGTCTGGGATGAGCCATGCCAAAAGGCTTTTGAGGAGATCAAAGCTTATCTCTCAAATCCGCCTGTCCTTGCGGCGCCAATCTCAGGAAGGCCATTCCTCATATACATACGGGCTATGGAACATTCTCTGGGTGCCCTCTTGGCTCAGAACGATGATGCAGGCCACGAGCAGGGCATCTACTACCTGAGCAGAACCTTGCAGGGCGCCGAGCAACGGTACCCAATGGTCGAGAAGGAATGCCTAGCCTTGGTGTTCGCTATCCAAAAGATGCGGCACTACTTGGTTGGCCAAACCATCCATGTCATCTCCCGGATGAATCCCATTCGGGTCTTCATGACACAACCCGCAGCGCTAAACTGGCGCCTGGCCAGGTGGGCACTTCTGCTCTCTCAATACGATATTCATTTCATGCCGCAGAAATCAGTCAAGGGACAAGCCATATGCGATCTCATGGCTAGTCACCCGCTGGGGGAGAAGACCGATCTATTCGAAGATCTGCCGGATGAACCTCCCGAAGCCAATATGACTTCGTCGCCGGAGGTGTGGCAGATGTTCTTCGACGGTGCGTCCCGCGCAGGCGCGAGCGGCTCTATTTCTGCAGGAGTGGGAGTGGCCCTCACCTCCCCGCATGGTCACGTGTTTCCCCGGGCCTTTTCCTTGACGGAACCATGTACCAACAACGTAGCCGAGTACAACGCGTTGCTCATAGGGCTCGAGTTAGCCAAAGAGCTCGGGATAAAGCATCTGGAGGCTTATGGCGACTCGCAACTCATTGTCAAACAAATGACTGGCGAATACGAAGTCAGGAATGAAGATCTTATCCCGCTCCACCGAGCAGCGGTCAGACTAGTGGAGTCATTCGAGAGCTTCCGTATTGAGCACGTGCTCCGTTCAAAGAACACCCATGCGGATGCTCTCGCATCCTTGGCAGCTAACTTAGCCCAGCCTCCTGGAACGACCCAAAGGGTCGCTGTCGCCAGCCGAAAACTCTTTCGACCCAGAGACGTCCCAGAGGCGAACGCCACTCATCAAGCCTCGGGTCAGCCAGATCAGGAAGACTGGCGTCTCCCGATCATCGATTATGTCCTATACGGCATGTTGCCTGAGGATTCGAAGGAACGAGAGTCGGTCCGACGACGTGCCTCACGGTTCTACTACGATTCAACCACTAAAACATTGTATCGCAGGTCATACGACGGCTTGCTACTTCGCTGTCTTTCAAAAGCGGAGGCGCAAGAAGCCGTACGCGAAGCACATGACGGCGTGTGCGGAGCTCATCAGCCCGGACCCAAGCTTTGGGATCGCTTACGAAGGATGGGCTACTTCTGGCCTGGGATGGTTACTGATGCAGTCGCTTATGCTAAGCGATGTTACGAATGCCAGATCCACGCCAACTACATACACCAGCCTCCTGAGGATCTACATCCGACGAGGGCATCTTGGCCCTTCGAGGCATGGGGGATGGACATAGTTGGGCCAATTTCTCCACCATCGGCGAAAGGCCATCGCTTCATCCTCGCGATCACCGACTATTTCTCTAAATGGGCAGAAGCCATCCCCTTAAGAGAAGTCAAGACTAGCGACGTGATCAAATTCATCAAGCACCATGTCATCTACCGATACGGCGTACCCCGGCGTATCATTCACGACAATGGCACGCAATTCGTTAGCCATGCCTTCACCAGGTTCTGCGACAAATTCCGAATACAGAACCTCTCGTCCACGGCCTACAACCCTTCAGCGAATGGTCTGGCCGAAGCTTTCAACAAGACGATCATCAAGATCCTGACCAAGTTGACTTCCACTAGCAAGCGCGACTGGAATGAAAAGCTAGGCGAGAGCCTGTGGGCATATCGCACGACGGTTCGTACACCGACTGGCACCACGCCTTACTCGTTGGTATACGGCTGTGAAGCTGTATTGCCATTAGAGATTCAGATTCCATCCCTTCGCGTCGCCCTAGCGACAGGGATGACGACTGAGGAAAATCACCAACTTCGACTCGCAGAGCTCGAGGCATTGGACGACAAGCGACTGGAAGCTCAGCAGCACATGCTTCGACTCGCAGAACTCGAAGCGCTGGACGACAGGCGACTGGAAGCTCAGCAGCACATCGAGTTTTACCAAGCTCGGATGGCCAGGAGCTTCGACAAGAAAGTCAAGCGCCGAGCCTTCAAAGAGGGAGAGCTCGTGCTCTCCGTCCGTCGACCAATGATCCTTACTTCCAAGAAGAAGGGGAAATTCCAGTCCAAATGGGAAGGACCATTCGTGGTAGAGACAGTCTACTCAAACGGCGCCTATCGCCTCGTCAAACCGAACGGCGATAAAATCATGATGCCCATCAACGGCAAGTATCTGAAGAAGTACTACCCATAGTGCTCCTTCACAAACTCCCAAGAGTGCATGAGTCTAAACTGGCCCTCAAAACCTCCGACTAGTACACGAGGCTAAACTGTACCCTCTTTGCCCGCTCTGGCGAAAGCCTCTTGTGGGATTCAATTCGCCTATCTCCTCTAATGAGAAGGCGGATCCACTAGAGTCGTTCATATCACGATATATACATTCAATTCGCCTATCTCCTCCAATGAGAGGGCGGATCACCAAAGTCGTTCATATCACGACAAACCCATTCAATTCGCCTATCTCCTCCAATGAGATGACGGATCCATCAAAGTCGTTCCAATCACGACATTCTCTGTCACGTTAACATTAAACCTCTGACAAAATCAACTTACCAATCCTCTCCTAAAGGATGGTGGGTCCTCAAAGTCGTTCCAATCACGATATTTTCTGTCACGTTAACATTAAA